GTGCGTAGGGCTTTGAACTTTTTGTCCGAACGATTTCTCCTAGCCAACATTTGTACTCCATTGAATGTTCGAATGAACACCCGAATCTGCCTGCATCTCGATGATCACACCTCCTACTTCTGCCCAGACCAACTCTTCTGAATCGCTTGTCGAAGATACCATTTCGACAAATTCGGTATACTCTTCTTCTTGCTCATTGCCTATTGCGTGAAACCGTCGAGTGGGAAAAGGAGCTTCCGTTCGCGGTTGTTTCCCGAATGACATCCGATTGGGTTGGAATGCTTGAGTGTTACTTCTTTTGGCAGCAGACTTCATCGCTGGCGTTTGGAAAGCACCTCACGGTTGTAGCATACTACACGGATAGAAATCTCCTTATACCATTTGGCAAATTTCTATTGCTGATTGTTCATAAAATGTATAAGTCAACTAATAAACAGACGCCTTGCAAAAAGTTAATGAAGATCATGTGTCAAATAAATTGTATAAGCTGTCACACATACCTTTTATGTATTCTTATAGGACCCATGTGGTTTGTCTTATGGAATGTATAAGGCTGATGTTTTGGCAAAAATGTATAAGTGAAACACATGAATAAAATAATTGATTTTCGTTTCGTGTATACGAAAATGTCCCAGCTTACCGCAGTTGGACCACGTTTTATTCCAAACTGGACAATTTTGACCTGATCCGTGAAACTTTCCGCAAAATTTGCAGAGCATTTTCACCCGTTGGATGATCTCCGTCTTCTTACCGTGGGTAATATTGCCTGGCCGCTGCTGATCGCTAGCAGAGCAAGAAGTCTCAAAAGCATTCACCTGCTTAATAACTTCTTCCAGTGTCAAAACCGTTGCCTGCAGTGGTTTATCACAAAGTGAAGCTGGTACAAATTGAAGCATTTTGTCAGCAACAGCTATGGAAGACCTGTCAGCAGAGGTTTTCCCAAAATTACACCTCGATGCGTGCGTCTGTGTCCTCACGCGAAATTTTGTCAAACCCTCGCCTGATTCCTGTTTCATGGCCCAGAACACGTAACGCTCATGAGCCTCATGTCGCTGTCCAGTTTCTCTACGGCAACTGCATGGGAATCTGTATCCTTGTCCCCTACAACGTCTACTCCCGGAATGTTGAAGAAAATATCCTGCAGTTCGAAACCACCATGTGCCAGAAGCAAATTCTTCTTTACTGCGGTTTCTTTGAACTTCGCAGCCCGGAGGCAAATTTCGTTTGTTTTGAAAAATAATCTGTTTAGTGCATCATCACGCAATGATCACCATTATTTACCTGAAGATCACAACAATAATATCGAAAATCGCAATGTTTACTATGAACGGTAGCAACTCCGCTCTCTCGCTGCGGTAGCAATCATCAATCACCACTTCCTCGCCGTGGCAGCCAATCCCGCTGACAAATCGCGGTAGCAACTCCGCTCACTTGCCCCGCTAGCAATCGATCACCACTTTTTTGCCGTGGTAGCTATTCCTTTCTCTTTCGCACCGCTTCTCAAATACGATGGTGGTCGAATACCTTCCTCCCTGTCACACTCAATTGAATGTTCCACACAAATAATACTAATCCAAGGGGTGGTCACTCTACACACGTATTTTGCGCCAACTTTTTTCTCAGTGTACCTCATGTGTGCCGCAGCTTTGACGGCAGTGCCGAGAGTGCCAGTCATCAGACTGAATTCGTTTGTTTGTATAATGGCATGTTTGGCAACCCGGTTAATTTGACAGTTCAAAAATGTTTTATTTTGAAGAAACAAAACAAGCAGTAGAATCAACAATCAATACGATTCTAACGATTTTAAATTGGGTGACTACTTGACTAGCCTATTGGTCCCAAGCAAATTGATTAACGCACCCCATTCTAGTAGAAATTCCAGTACTACACTATGTTTGTTTTGATTCGCTATGAAAGTTTGACATATAAAATGAGGGGTTCATGGATTTTCCTATGTTTCGAGGGGTGCATCGATTAGCTTGGGACCGAAGATAGTACCAGAGTTGAGCAAAAAAGTTGAGCTCGTTTCTTCGGGACCTTCTGGTCTTAGAGTTACCTCTATGGTAGAATCGAGAGTGAAATCCTATCCCAGATCCTAAACATCCTCACCAAGACGATGTTCCATAGGCACTCCAGCTGGACAAGCTGATACCGGACAAACTGGCCCGACAAGAAGATCTCCTCAAGACCGTGATCGAAATCCCTCGCCCGCTGGACAACATCAAAGCGCATCTGATGGTATTCGAAATCTACAATCGCTGGACGTGTTCACACTATCGATGCCAACCACCCGACCGGGACTCCATGGATTCAAAGTTTGTAGAGGCCAAGGTCATGTACCAACTGGACGACAAGAAACGGGACGAAGCAGTTTATTTCAGAATGCGACGGAAATATTGCTGCTGCAAGGCTAGCTGCTTCAGCGGTGAGCACGAGGGTGAGCAGGTATGTATGCATTAACAAAGTGCTGCCAAATGCGATTCCCGATGCGGTTGTGTTCACTGATGATACTCCTCTCACCACCACCCTATAATCGCCGTTGGCATATTCAGCGATCTGGTAGTGACGGAACGGTCATGTGCTCGATGGAGCAACAGCCAGCCATCGAAAGCCACCATCCGGCAGCCACAGAAAAATAAAAGCTAACACAAGCCTAGATGATTTCAGGCTGGTCAAACCGAAACACAAACCGGAGTAATAATGGAGGGCACCATTCCATCCGTTTCTTTTCCTTTCATCTTTTAGGGTGTCTTGCTGCTTCGTAGATGAATGTTCTTCCCACCCCCGCCGTGTGGTAGGATCGAAACGAGAACTGAGCAGCTCTACCAGCAACAAATCCTTATATTCGGCTGGTTCAATGATTCGATCTAACGTTTGGATCACACGGTCGAAACCATCTACTAATCTATGGAGATCCGTGATAGATTCCTTGCTAAGTGAAGGTAGTTTAATGAGCGCATGCACTTGTTTCTTTTTCAAAAGTTTATCGTTGTCGTAACGTCTTAGCAACGTGTCCCAAGAAACTTGATAATTGTTCTTCGTGATCTTTAGCGGATCATTCAGTGCCTTTGCTTCGCCTGCTAAGTACCCTTTGAGGTAGTGAAGTTTCTATACATCGGGTAGATCTGGCTTTTCGTGAATCAGAGACTACCATCAAAATATTGCAGCTGGATTTGAGGCAAGCGAACATGATCCATTACGCCATCTGCAGTGCGCATTGTTTGGTGTGGCGAAGACCTTTCCTGCAATCCTTTAACCTACTCAACCAGAAGCGATTTCGCATCGTAGTAACGGTTTTCTATCTCAAACAGCTCCTTTTTTGAAAACCATCTTCTTCCTCATAATCCCCATGCGCTTGAATTTCCCAGATTGTTTCGCTAATTTGTACCCACAGAATATATAATCGCTCAATTCGAACATCAATTTGATTGGTGGGGGTTCCCTCCTTAAAGTTCTTAACGTACTGACAAATATTGCTTAACGATAATCTGAGACCCTTGAGTTTTGTTGTTAAGACCTTCAAGGAATCGGCATTTCTGGTTATGAGTTTTGTTGCCATAGTTGATGTCGTTGCAGTACAGGAACTCGAACTCGAAAGTCAATTGTTGGACGGATTACTCTTCTGGCAAGTTGTTGAAACGTTGATTGAAAAGCGAGAAAAAACGTAGATGTAGTATCCAAATTTGTCCGGTTCGGCTGAACATATACCGTTCAGCACACCTGTGAGAAGAATCACCTCCGAAGCCAAAACAGTGAAAAGCGAGGGAGTGAAGAAGCGAATGTTGTATGCAAATTGAAACTTCCGCTAGACATATATATATACTGCTCAGCGCGCCTGTGAAACAACCGAATTCAAAATGCGTCTTATTCGTCTCTTATACAGCAAGTAGTACAGTACGAAATCGTCTCGAAAGTTCAAATCCAGTACAGCGGAGAAAGAATGACCAATGTAGTTTCACAAACAAGCCTGCTACGGTAGGACATATATGTACTTTGTCTCACCTGGACAACTAAAGATGGCGCTGATCGAATAGACTTCAGTGCGAAAACAACTGTTAGACCTCAGGAATGGCGTCCATAAATGAGTAGACTTGAAACAGTCCAATTTGCATCGAAAGGGTAATAATTTATTGGTGCGGTATCTATGAATCCAGCTTCGGCTGGGCATATACTTTTAAAGTGTATTTACCTGACCGCAATTGCGGGTGTTTGACGTTTGCATTTGAACTATTTTAATTACCCCCAGGTTACAAACTATTTACATATATCCATCCCGTTACACCCAGACATGGTTATTCCTTGCATTTCCCGGTTGGCTGTACGTGACTAATTTTATCCTCCTCTGAAGTGATTAACATGTCAAAATTGTATCCTTTCCTTCAACCATATCCAGCTGAGCCCGTTTTGTTGGCTTCAACATTCTGAAAGTTCACTCAACAAAAAAAAAACTTAATTATGATTACGAAACATTGCATCCGACTACACAAGCTCGTGTGGAAATTATAAAGTCTGGAAGTGAGCTGGCCTCTAGCGATGGCACATTGTGGCGACGTCCTTTCTGTGTTTCTCGTTAAGGCTACCAACAGCAGCGGGGTGACGTTCATCGTGGTTAATTAGAGCTTGCTTTCCTTTTGTCTTCTTCTGGCTGGGAAATTCTTAATGCTTCACGTCAGGAAAAATGCTAAACTTGACTATGAATAAGACAAATTTTGAACGGAATAAATTGCTATCGTATTGGTGTATTTAATTTATCGAAAATTTCAGAATAAGCAACCGCTTCCGCCAGCGGAAGCCTTCCGGATTATTGCTCACGTGAGAATCCGTCCGTCACGTTCCCGAATCATCGTCCTAATCCCTGTCATTCAACATTTACCTTCCTGTCATCATCGCAATGTTTTATATAGATATATATCCCGTCCCTATGTGTAGCCGAATCATGCTGATACCTAATACCGTTGTTGGTTCTGACTGCAATCTCCGTTTTTCTCCCACTCCTCTAGACAGGAACGGCTCCCGGCCTCCCCGGCGGGCGTACGGGCGCCTCAGTGTGGATGCCGACGATGCTCAATCGTTGCGACGTGAGGCCGAGCTTAACGACAATCTGATTGATGTGGATGGAGAATTGAACGAGAGCAACTACGCCAACAACAACAACCATAACAACAATAATAACAATAACAACAACAATAGTATCCTAGTGAAAAATCAGAACAAAGCCGTTGTTGGAAGCACAGCCACGACCACCACGACCACGAAAACGACGATGATAAATGGCTGCCCTTCGCATCTGTTCCCGCACGATAACTACTACGGCGATGGCGATGGTGACGACGCTGATGTAAACCGGAATCAGTCCAATAGCAACGAAACCGACTCGGACCAGGAGCTGGATGCCACCATCAAGGAGCAACGGCTCGAGGAACAAGCCCTTTCGCGGCTGCAGGCGATGGCACTGTCGGACGATGACGAGTACGGTGAGTACCTACAATCCATCATCCTCATGGGCCCTTGTTCTAGAGCTGGTATTGACCACTAAATGCACTTACGGGGGGTTAAGCTGGGGGGAATTATGCAATGTTCGGACCGACCGCAGCCGTCGCAAATGTAATATGCATAGTGCGAAGTGGGTCCATCTGACGATCGGAGGTGGCATTTGTGGTTGAGTGTTGCATGAATTGTTTATCCAGTGTTTTAAATGCATTGTCGCTTATTGTGTTCCGCTTTACAGTTGGTCTTGAACGCAGAAAGCACTTCAGAGCTTATTTGGAGCGCCTTTCTACTGACAAGGCACAAGGCGCTTAAACCACTATGTAATAGAGAAATGATGTCAAATATATGCGATGAGATGGGGTTTAGGATCTTGAGTTGAGGGAGTTTGCGAATATGAACGTTAGTTAAACATCAGATCGCATGACTGCCTCTCACTCCAAAGGGCCTGGGTTCAATCCCAGTCGGTGATTGGTGATTGTAGAGACGGGTGTCCCCACGAAATGAAGTAGTGTAATAGTTCATAAGTTGCTTGGAGGATTTTCTTGAGCTCATGTGCTGATATGCAGTTTTAGTTTACTTTTTTTATTTCAATAGCTTCAGACTTTTTCAATTTATCTTGCGAACTTCTATCTGACTTGATGTGTTAATATGTTATGTCCGGAGAACTTCGACATTAGGGCGTGATTGCTTTTGTAAACAAACACGTCATTTGCCTATTTCTCGTGAATTAAAGCTCAATCATAAAAAAAAACTAATAACATAAACAGGTAGATGAATAGTTCCTCTATCATTTGGTATAGTTTATTTGCAAGATTGTTCTTTTAGTCGCGAGAAATGGGCGGTTGACGTGTTTGTTTACAAAAGCAATTACGCCCTAATCTCAAAGTTCTCCGGATGTGTTTGTAGCTTTGCCTCTCTCATGTGAATCACATTTCATCGTCATTATTATCTTCACAATTTTGAAGACGACAACTATGACTCGCCGTTCGAGAGGAAGCCGTTCTCCTGTCAATTTTGGTTCCTGCATTTTCAGGCATCAAATTGTCGCTCTTATGGAGTATTTTGTGGACAACTGTTCGAGAGTTACCGTTCGCTCTAATAAAGGCTATTTTGTACGACCAGAAGCAGAAGACCAGCCAAACTCGTCAGAGAAAGCGGAGAAACAGCAAACTATTCATTGACTGGAAAATTTCGGGTACTTGGTAACAAACTGTGCCACTCATTTCTGCTCACCTGTCACATATGAACCGGTTCAATCGCTGATTGAATTTACACAAACGGCCTTTTTAAGGCCACCAATTTATCTTTAATAGAGAGGTTGGCCACCAATATTTTCCAAAAGAGTTGAATTTCTGAATATATCCCAACTAAAATTCATATCAAAAGATTCATATAAGGGCAATCATAGTCATACCAAGGAGTTAAACAGAGAGAACCCCGCTCAAATTCCTATTCCTACACAAATCACAAGCTCCTGCTGTAGTAAAGAAATAACATTTATTATATAAGACCACGTAGTCCTACGTCACCATTGCATACAACCCCATAGGGCTGTCCCTTGCAGTATTTCAATTTAGCAGCCTTCATGCCAAAAAAAAGTTGAATGCTTCAAACTGTTTTGAAGGAACATCACTACAATCAGTGGAATCCGAACTAAGGCGATGATCCAAAGGCAGTCAGGCTAGACAAACTGACCTGACCGGAGGATCCCCTCGAAAAAGTTATCGATTTCGTCCGACCGCTAGCAGATGCTTTTTAAAGATAGCATCGAAACGATGGCATCCGGAATTTACAGCCGCCGAAGCAAACTGCTGCTAATGTTGAAATCGGTGAATTCTCAGGGATCAAAATCGGCCGCAGAGATCAGATGGTTACCTGTCAAGTACGTCCTGAAGAATACGACGGAAGTGTTCCGCTGCTAAAGTGCTGAAAAAAGTGATGGAAGCTAACGATTTTAAATTGACTCACTACTTGACTAGCCTATTGGTCCCAAGCGAACGATTAACGTACCCCATTCTAGTCGAAATTCTAGTACTACGCAATGTTTGTTTTGATTCACTATGAAAGTTTGACAGATAAAATGAGGGGTTAGAGGATTTTCCTATGTTTCGAGGGCTGAAGCGATTAGCTTGGGACCGAAGAGAGTACCAGAGCTGAGCCAAAAAGTTGAGCACGTTATTTCGGGACCTTCTAGTCTTAGAGTTACCTCTAGGACACCACCCAGTCTTCATAGCCGGCGTTTTCAGCAACCGTCACTACCAGTGCCACCGGAATGATCATGTGCCCGTGAAGCGACGGTCAGCGAAAGCCAGGATCAGTGTAGGGCCCGTTTCTCTTCCTTATAGATCACTGCATCAATCCTAACCTAACTTTCGTTTGACATTTTTGCCGGGTTTGTTTTGCTCGCTATTTTCTCTTTTGCTTTGATGTTTACTTTCGGTTCGCTCGTCAGTCAGTCATTAGCAGTGCGTGCAGATACAAAAATCAATGCAAGTCGATTTAACTGAATGTTTGTAGGCGTCAAACTGTGAAGCTGATCTCCGGTTGTATCGTCTAATGTTTTTTGATTATTTATATCTGTTTTAAAATGCCGAAAGTTTGTGTGTTGAACCATTGTCATACGTCCGTATCAGCGCGAAGCATGTACAGCTTCCCTTCGGTAGGTTCGAGCTCATTTATCAGCCGGCTTAATATACTTCGAAGAGATCGATGGATTGTTGCTCTAGGTTTGAAAGATACTTTGAGCTGGAGTACGAAATATGTATGCGGTAGACATTTTATCTCAGGTTAGATTTAACTTGAAAGTTAATTAATTAGTATTGATTGAATAATTAGGTTACTTGTCGAACTATAGGAAAACCATCTAAATCAACAGATGTGAGCAACCCGGATTGGGTTCCATCATTATTCTTACCAATTAAGAACGCAGCACAGTGCTGCACAGATGATGATAAACTAGAGGATAACCTGCCAAGTGCCTCGAACCCTATACATCAATTAACACAACCTGATCCAGAACCAGCTAAAATTTTTGATGAAGAACTGGAGCATATAACTTCCCCGAAGTTATCGTCCGAATCATACATCGAAGCCTCGTTTGATGAAAATAAGGAACTCACCGAGGAGCTCACTTCACCTTCAGTTCCGACTGGTTTGTTCACCCAGAAAAAAATAACGTTTTTCAACATATAATTTGCTTTACTGTGTTTCAGACAATTATTTGCATAGAGCGTTAGATGCTGAAAAAAAACTCCAAATTTATCGAACCGAACTGGCACGAATTCAGAACCACAACTTTGGGTTGGAGGAAAAGCTGGTTTTGAAGCAAAGGGGTTTGGAGTTTTTAGCGGAGAGTGCTATTAAGTGCAATTATTATACAGGAATTTCAGACTACCAAGTTTTGACGAAATTATATAAGTATTTGCGGCCGTCACTTGATGACCCTATGCCGAATTTCGGTTCAGAACAACTGTTTGTTATGACGTTGTCACAATACCGTTGAACATACCGTTCTCAACGTTGGGGTTTGACTATGGTGTGAGCACAACAACGGCATCTAAGTACTTTCACCGCACACTATATGTGATTTATTCATGCTGCAAGTACGCTCTTCAACCATCTCAACAGAAGAATGCAGCTCGTCATACTCCACACAGCTTCGCCAGAATTTACGAGCATAAACGTGTACATATTCATTGTTGACTGTTTTGAGGTTCGCTGCGAGACTCCAGGTAACATAAAGGCCGCGGCTGCACATTTTAGCAATTATAAGCGAACACATACTGTTGAGTTCTTGATAGCTGTTCATCCTGACGGGACAATTGCATATATTTCGAACGGGTTTACGGGTCGCTGCTCCGATCGTGAAATTACGCTGCAGAGTGGATTTTTGGATTTAGTTGAGGAAAACGATATTATACTTGCCGACAAGGGGTTTACTATTAGTGACATAATTCGCGCAAAGAAAGCAACCCTGAATATCCCGACATTTTTACGCAATAAGCGCCAGTTTTCACCTGCCGAACTGGAAACTGATAAACAAGTTACTTCTCTTCGGATTCACGTGGAGAGAGTCATTGGATTGCTGCGGAATAAGTACCAATGTATCTCTGGAACAATATCTGTTGATACCATGGCATGATTTCAGAATAACCATAATGTTGTGGATTTAATGGTTAAGGTTTCTTGTATTTTGTGTAATTTTCATAAATCAATCATTCCAGTTTAAGAATTTCTTTTATTTAAGTTTTGAACCATTCAAAAAGTAATTGGCGACTAGTTCAGGTGATATGATATTTTTGAAATATTTCAACGATTTTTCACAAGCTTCCTTCCAGAAATAAATGTCTCTCACAATTCGCAAGCAAAGCTCCTCGTCTTTACTCCATACAAAAAACCATCCAAAATTTGAGCCACTCACAAAAATCTCTGCTTGTATTTGGACGTAGTAATCATGTGACTTCACCATCAAATATTCTCCATCTCGAATTGCCAAGAATGGAAGTTCTTGATCTTAAGTTGATTATTCAGGCTTGATTTCCCCGATAGCCTGAAAGGATATTTAACTTCTACGGTTGATGTACCACAGCAGTCACACATCATTATCAAGTCCGGAGAGGACGACATGAATGGTTGATCGCGATAAATGATCACCCCACATTCCAAAAACATTACGTTTTTGTGATACTCCACGATCATTTTTTGGAACGCTTTTAAAGCGCGAGGTTCATTATTTCTTCCGTATGCCATAGCTTCATTTTGGATTGTCATAGTTTCAGGATAGCAAATTCGTTTTAAGAGGGTCATTTTAGCTGGAACTGTTGTAATCGAGACTCGACTACATTCATTTAATATCGAACCTGTTATCCGGCCTATCCTGGCCCATCGCCACAGGTCACATCGAGATTGTGCACGAGTCAATCGTTCGATTTGTTCAATTTCGGCTGCCGAAATGATGATGTTTAATTTGTCCGAAAACTCTCTA